AGTCGAAGAATCGAAATTCCAAAACTGAAAATCTAAAAAACTGAAATTTTGAGAAATCGAAAAATCAAAAAGTGATGTCGAAAAATTGAAAATCAAAAACGTGTAAAATCGAAAAATTGAATTGATGAACTGGAAAATCGGAACAGTCGAAAGTCAGGAAATGGGAAAATCAGAGTATCGATTAATTGAGAAATCGAAAAATTGAGTTTGTAAAATTCAAATTTGAAAAATTGAAAAATCTAGAACCGGTAAATCGAAAAATCGAAGGATTAAGAATTCGAAACATTTGAAAAATTCGAAAACTAAAAAATGTTCATTATTGAAGAACTAAAATGAAAAATCGAGGAATCGAAAAACCTAAAATTTTAAAAATCGAAAAATCCAGAAGTCAAAAATCGAAAAGGCGAAGAATCGAAATTCCAAAACTGAAAATCTAAAAAACTGAAATTTTGAGAAATCGAAAAATCAAAAAGTGAAGTCGAAAAATTGAAAATCAAAAACCTGTAAAATCGAAAAATTGAATTGATGAACTGGAAAATCGGAACAGTCGAAAGTCAGGAAATGGGAAAATCAAAACATCGATTAATTGAGAAATCAAAAAATTTAGTTTGTAAAAGTCAAATTTGAAAAATTGAAAAATGTAGAACCGGTAAATTGAAAAATCGAAAGATTAAGAAATCGAAACATTTGAAAAATTCGAAAACTAAAAAATGTTCATTATTGTAGAACTAAAATGAAAAATCGAGGAATCGAAAAACCTAAAATTTTAGAAATCGAAAAATCCAGAAGTCAAAAATCGAAAAGTCGAAGAATCGAAATTCCAAAACTGAAAATCTAAAAAACTGAAATTTTGAGACATCGAAAAATCAAAAAGTGAAGTCGAAAAATTGAAAATTAAAAACCTGTAAAATCGAAAAATTGAATTGATGAACTGGAAAATCGGAACAGTCGAGAGTCAGGAAATGGGAAAATCAAAACATCGATTAATTGAAAAATCAAAAAATTTAGTTTGTAAAAGTCAAATTTGAAAAATTGAAAAATCTAGAACCGGTAAATCGAAAAATCGAAAGATTAAGAAATCGAAACATTTGAAAAATTCGAAAACTAAAAAATGTTCATTATTGAAGAACTAAAATGAAAAATCGAGGAATCGAAAAACCTAAAATTTTAGAAATCGAAAAATCCAGAAGTCAAAAATCGAAAAGTCGAAGAATCGAAATTCCAAAACTGAAAATCTAAAAAACTGAAATTTTGAGAAATCGAAAAATCAAAAAGTGATGTCGAAAAATTGAAAATCAAAAACGTGTAAAATCGAAAAATTGAATTGATGAACTGGAAAATCGGAACAGTCGAAAGTCAGGAAATGGGAAAATCAGAGTATCGAAAAATTGAGTTTGTAAAATTCAAATTTGAAAAATTGAAAAATCTAGAACCGGTAAATCGAAAAATCGAAGGATTAAGAATTCGAAACATTTGAAAAATTCGAAAACTAAAAAATGTTCATTATTGAAGAACTAAAATGAAAAATCGAGGAATCGAAAAACCTAAAATTTTAGAAATCGAAAAATCCAGAAGTCAAAAATCGAAAAGTCGAAGAATCGAAATTCCAAAACTGAAAATCTAAAAAACTGAAATTTTGAGAAATCGAAAAATCAAAAAGTGAAGTCGAAAAATTGAAAATCAAAAACGTGTAAAATCGAAAAATTGAATTGATGAACTGGAAAATCGGAACAGTCGAAAGTCAGGAAATGGGAAAATCAAAACATCGATTAATTGAAAAATCAAAAAATTTAGTTTGTAAAAGTCAAATTTGAAAAATTGAAAAATCTAGAACCGGTAAATCGAAAAATCGAAAGATTAAGAAATCGAAACATTTGAAAAATTCGAAAACTAAAAAATGTTCATTATTGAAGAACTAAAATGAAAAATCGAGGAATCGAAAAACCTAAAATTTTAGAAATCGAAAAATCCAGAAGTCAAAAATCGAAAAGTCGAAGAATCGAAATTCCAAAACTGAAAATCTAAAAAACTGAAATTTTGAGAAATCGAAAAATCAAAAAGTGATGTCGAAAAATTGAAAATCAAAAACGTGTAAAATCGAAAAATTGAATTGATGAACTGGAAAATCGGAACAGCCGAAAGTCAGGAAATGGGAAAATCAGAGTATCGATTAATTGAGAAATCGAAAAATTGAGTTTGTAAAATTCAAATTTGAAAAATTGAAAAATCTAGAACCGGTAAATCGAAAAATCGAAGGATTAAGAATTCGAAACATTTGAAAAATTCGAAAACTAAAAAATGTTCATTATTGAAGAACTAAAATGAAAAATCGAGGAATCGAAAAACCTAAAATTTTAGAAATCGAAAAATCCAGAAGTCAAAAATCGAAAAGTCGAAGAATCGAAATTCCAAAACTGAAAATCTAAAAAACTGAAATTTTGAGACATCGAAAAATCAAAAAGTGAAGTCGAAAAATTGAAAATCAAAAACCTGTAAAATCGAAAAATTGAATTGATGAACTGGAAAATCGGAACAGTCGAAAGTCAGGAAATGGGAAAATCAAAACATCGATTAATTGAGAAATCAAAAAATTTTGTTTGTAAAAGTCAAATTTGAAAAATTGAAAAATGTAGAACCGGTAAATCGAAAAATCGAAGGATTAAGAATTCGAAACATTTGAAAAATTCGAAAACTAAAAAATGTTCATTATTGAAGAACTAAAATGAAAAATCGAGGAATCGAAAAACCTAAAATTTTAAAAATCGAAAAATCCAGAAGTCAAAAATCGAAAAGTCGAAGAATCGAAATTCCAAAACTGAAAATCTAAAAAACTGAAATTTTGAGAAATCGAAAAATCAAAAAGTGAAGTCGAAAAATTGAAAATCAAAAACGTGTAAAATCGAAAAATTGAATTGATGAACTGGAAAATCGGAACAGTCGAAAGTCAGGAAATGGGAAAATCAAAACATCGATTAATTGAAAAATCAAAAAATTTAGTTTGTAAAAGTCAAATTTGAAAACTTGAAAAATCTAGAACCGGTAAATCGAAAAATCGAAAGATTAAGAAATCGAAACATTTGAAAAATTCGAAAACTAAAAAATGTTCATTATTGAAGAACTAAAATGAAAAATCGAGGAATCGAAAAACCTAAAATTTTAGAAATCGAAAAATCCAGAAGTCAAAAATCGAAAAGTCGAAGAATCGAAATTCCAAAACTGAAAATCTAAAAAATTGAAAATTTGAGGAATCGAAAAATCAAAAAAGTGAAGTCGAAAAATTGAAAATCAAAAACCTGTAAAATCGAAAAATTGAATTGATGAACTGGAAAATCGAAACAGTCGAGAGTCAGGAAATGGGAAATTCAAAACATCGATTAATTGAAAAATCGAAAAATTGAGAATTTAGAAAAGTCAAAAATTGAAAAATTGAAAAACCGAGGTATTTAAAAATAGTAAAATTGAAGAGAAAAATTGAAAAAACGTAAAGGAAAATCAAGAAATGGAAAAAATTCAGAAATCAAAAAATTGAAACTCAAGAAATTGAAGAAAAACAGAAATTGTCAAATCGAAAAATTGAATAATAAATAATCTGAAAAACCCAAAACTGAAGAATGGAAAACCTGAAAATCTCTAAATGAAATAACCAAAAACTGAGAAAACCTTAAAACACTGAAAAATTCAAAAATCATAAATCTAAAAACTTAAAAACTGAAGAATTGAAGAAATGAAAAATAAAAAACTGAGAGTTTATAAAAGTCAAATTTGAAAGAATGCAAAAACCAAATATTTCAAAATCGTTAAATTGAAGAGGAGACAAATTGGAAAAACACAAAACTGAAACATTGTGAAAATGAAAAATTGAGACATTGTAAAATCGAAAAATTGAATAATAACTAAAGTGAAAAATTCCAAAACTGAAATTTCCAAAAATTGAAAAATGAAAGAAAAACTGAAAAATCCCAAAATTGAAATATCCAAAACCTGAAAAATTTTAAGAATTGAAAAATTGAAAAATCGAAAAATCAAAAAATCAAATAAGTCAACTCGAAAAATCGAAACCTTGAAAAATAGACAAATTGAAAAACTAAAAAATGAAAACAGTCAGGGATTATTTCAGGGATTCCAAAAATTCCGAAGATTCCGCAGATTCCAAATATTCAAAAATTGGAAAGATGATAAAATATTTAAAATTCCAGTGATACTGAAGTATCTAAAAATAACGAAAATCTGAAAGCTCTAAAGATTATAGAAATTCTAGTGATTCTAGATTCTAGAGATTCTAAAGATTCCAAAGTGGTTTGAAAAATTCAAAAAGTATAAAAGCTTTCACGTATTACATACACTAGAAACTGCGAATTGTAAAGACACTTAAGATTCTAAATAAACTAAAGTTCTAATGTTCCAAATATAAAAAAGATCCAACAAAATCTTAAAAATTTTAAAGAACCTGTGGGTACTAATGATTCTATAAATTGCAGAAATTTTAGGCTTCATGGAACTCCTAGTAATTCCTAAAGTGTTCAAAATTTCCATAGATTGGAAAGGCTCTAAAGAGTCTAAAGACTCTAAGGACTCTAAGGGGTCAAAAGCTAAAATTCTGTTTCGAATACTTGAAAGATTCTAAAGGTTCTAGAGAAATTCCAAAAGGCCAAAGATTATAAAACTTACACTAATTATTATTTTATAAATCTTGGAGACCTGATAATTTTAGAAATAAAAAAAAATATATTGATTCCAGAGACTAAACAAAACGAATCCACATGATCACGCGGTACATTTCAAGTCAGCTTCGCCGCCACCTGCCGCCGCATCCATCTCGCAAACTTTCCCCATTAATCCGCTAATTACCGCCCCGCAAAAACACCCTAATCAATTAACCTCGCGCCCCTGCCGCATTCCCCGATACCCAATTAAAACTTTCCGGAGCGCCGTCTGCATAGGCAAACAACCGTACGACAATGCGCCTGTAAGCAGGCCACACGTTAAACACGCCTGCATACCTCTCCAGCCCTCCTAGACGCTGGTGCGCCCTCGCCAGACTCAGGTAGGACTCCGCCCGCATGTTGGGGTTGTCGAGCTCCTCGCTGATGAACAACTGCCTGTGGGCGTACTCCAGGGCGTCCCTGCAAGGCAAAAGACTCGTTTAAAGGGAGAAAAAGGGCATTTCGGTGTCTGGACAAAACGACGAGGCTCGAGCCCGTCTTTATTGCATCAGGGGTGGACTACCGGCTTTGTTAGGGAGATTTGCATTGCAGATGAGGAGATGATATTGTAAGTAGTTGGAGATTTCTTTTAAGGGATGTTAAATTTGAAATTAATAAAAATTTACTCAAACTCCGGTCCGGTGACTCCATAAATCCTCCAAAGCGTCCAACTACTTCTTCCTCGCCGCTACATCGCAATAACCCTAATTCCGGGCCGTTTAGAGCGGCATCATCACGAACAAAAAGAGCCGCGGTCCGGTCGCCCGGAAGAATTCCGTGCGAATCAACTCCGGAATCCATCCATCGGGATTCGAGTTTAATGTCGTGTACGGAAAAAATCGTCCCGACCTCGGGCACATAAAAACTCCCAGAGGTCCTCAAGAAGCCGGCGAGCGTCGATGATGAACTTCCAGCCGGTATTAATATTTTCGGCGAAGTAATCGGCTCTCTAGTTCGGCGTTTTTAGTACAAAGTGACACGGTTGTAAAACCTCCGGCTCCATAAAATTTAAATACCCATTCCCGTTCCGGGGTATCAGCCCGGCCCGAACGAGCGATTTATTGGAAAAACAAACATAAACTTTCAATTTTTCCCCTTTTTACGGCAGCGACTCGAACAAACACCCTTAAAAATTCTTCCGGTTCAACGAATCGAGAGGAATTAAGACTTCGAGCGCACCTTCCAGGCTCCCGCATGCTCTGTCTTTTTTAATACTGTGTAAACAGAGTGACGTTGCGTCGGATGATTTTCGGAGTGACGTCACGGGTTTGCGGAGGGGATGCCAACGCGCGATTTTTCGCGCTAATCCCCGACGTGCTTAAGCGAATTAATTGGAATTATTAATGCCGCTCCATCAGCGCCCCGAATTGCGCGAATTAATCTAAATAAGTAGTGAGGGTGGGAAGTGAAGGATAATTATTGAAGAGTTCATCCAATCGAGGGCTCAAGGAGCGCCGGATTTAATTGGGAAATATTTCCTGTGTCAGATGCAAGGTTCGGAAGTGCGGGATTGACAGATTCCGCTTTCTTGTTGAATAAAATTAAGGGTTTGGATGATTTCGCAAAAACGATTCGATGATTGAGTGCGTCTGAGCGAATTAAATGGCTCGGGAGGTTGAAATTTCATTATTACTATAAACGAGTTTTTCTTAATTCGGTTGGTAATTAAAAAAATTGCTGTAGCTAATTAGTTCGGGATAAAAAGGGGAGAGCGGGTCATCTGTGCTTAGCCACGCCCTCGTAATTGACCAACCGAGCTGAAGTACAAAGTTCGGAAAATAAACACCGATATTGTTGTTTTGTGGAAGTGTGTTTGTTATTGTTGAGAGTGTGCGGTCGGAGTTGGTTTCTTTAAACATTAGCGCCAGAAGACTTGAAAAGGAACTTGTTAGAGCATAAAGGCGAAAAGTTGTGTGACTCTAACTTGAACAAGAAGATTGAAAAAGTATAAAAGGGTGAAGGCGAAACGGCGTCACGATGTTTTAACTGGGAATCTTTGGCCTGTAGTTGGTAGATTGTAAATTCTATCCATCGGGGACGAAAACAGCAGCGGTAACTAATTTTCCCGAGCCGAAGACGTGAAAACAAGTTCAAAGTAAATTTCTCGGAATATTTGCGAAATCAAAAATTTTTTTGAGGGAAGAACGAGTGTTGAAAACATACAATGAAGAACTGTGAATCTGGAATTCATTTGCCAAAACCAGTTTTTCTTAGCATGTACTAGCCCCGCCCACCCACCCTCTGTTTTCTGGGAAGGTATGTGATTTGCCAAAATCAGTCTTATTTTAACAGGAACTTGCCCCGCCCACCCACCCTCTGTTTTCTTGGAAGGTATGTGATTTGCCAAAATCAGTCTTATCTGAGCAAGTCCTAGCCCCGCCCACCCACCCTCCGTTTTCTTGGAAGGTATGTGATTTGCCAAAATTAGTCTTATCTCAGCAGGTACTAGCCCCACCCACCCACCCTCTCTTTTCTTAGAGGATATCTCATTTGTGAATCTGAAATTCAGAATAGTAAAATATTCAAATGATGAATCTTAAAATTCTCAAGCCAAAAATACGAAATCACAAAATTTTGGAATTCATAGTTCCAAAAAACTCTGAATCCTAAAACGCTGAATCTCAAATCGTAATCTAGGAAAGCCTAAATCTGTGGTTCTTAAAACACTCACTTTTGAAAAATTATAATACTCGAAATCCATAGACATGAAATCCGAAATCTATATTTTCTGAAATTTTCAAGTCGTGGATTTTCAAAATTTAGACACTAGAAGTCGTGATCTAAACTTACACAATCATGAGATTCTTAACCTTGAAATCTCAGTCCCTTAAATCCCATAATTTGACGTTCTAAACCTTGAAATTACGAAACCCAAAAATCACAGTCCTAAAGTTTTAAAAATCACAATCTAGAAGTCCTAAAACAGTGAATTCGGAAGCCACGATAATAAAAACTTCAAGTCATGGATTTTGAAATTTCAAATGTCAAAATTATCAAGCGAGAAATACGAAATTATGAAATTCTGGAATCCATTATTCCGAAAATACTGGATCCTAAAACGCCGAATCGCCAATCATAATCTTGAAATTGGGAATTTTGAAATCTTCATCTTGGCATTCTGAATCCTAAAATTATGATCTCCGAATTCCGCGCTCATGAAATCCTAAATCTGTGATTACTGAATTTTTCAAGTTATGGATTTTCAAAATTGAAAGACTTGGAACCGCAATCCAAAATTTCAAAATCATGAGATTCTTAATCTTGAAATCTCAGCCCCATGAAAAATCCCATAATTTGACGTTCTAAAACTTGAAATTAGGAAACCTAAAAATCATAATCCTGAAGTCCTAAAATCACAGTCCTGAAATCCTAAAACTGTGAATTCGGAATCCACGATCATGGATTTTGAAGTTTCAAATCTCAAAATTATCAAACGAGAAATACGAAATTATGAAATTCTGGTATCCATTATTCCGAAAATACTGGATCCTAAAACGCCGAATCGCCAATCATAATTTTGAAATTGGGAATTTTGAAATCCTGATCGTGACATTCTGAATCCTAAAATTATGATCTCCGAATTCCGCACTCATGAAATCCTAAATCTGTGATTCCTGAATTTTTCAAGTTATGGACTTTCAAAATTTAAAGACCTGAACCCGGAATCCAAAATTTCAAAATTTCAAAATCATGAGATTCTTAATCTTGAAATTTCAGCCCCTTAAAAATCCCATAGTTTGACGTTCTAAAACTTGAAATTAGGAAACCTAAAAATCATAATCCTGAAGTCCTAAAATCACAGTCCTGAAATCCTAAAAGTGTGAATTCGAAATCCACGATCATGGATTTTGAAGTTTCAAATGCCAAAATTATCAAACGAGAAATACGAAATTATGAAATTCTTGAATCCGTTATTCCGAAAATACTGGATCCTAAAACGCCGAATCGCCAATCATAATCTTGAAATTGGGAATTTTGAAATCCTGATCTTGACATTCTGATTAGTAAAATGATGATACCCGAAATCCGTACTTACGAAATCCTAAATCTGTGATTCCTGAATTTTTCAAGTTATGGATTTTCAAAATTTAAAAACCAGAAAGTAATCCAAAATTTCAAAATCATGAGATTCTTAATCTTCAAATCTCAGTCCCTTAAATTCCAAAATTTGACGTTCTAAAACTAGAAATTACGAAACCTAAAATCACAGTCCTACAACTACAATTTTAGTGTCATAATTCCAAAAACCATGAATCCTAAAACACCGAATCACAAATCATAATCTTGAAATTGTGAATTTTTTGAAATCTCGATCTTGACATTCTGAATCCTAAAATTATGATACCCGAAATCCATACTCATGAAATCCTAATTCGGTGATACCTAATTTCCTCAAACTGTGGATTTTCAAAATTTATACACCTACAGAATTCGCAATTCAGAAATAGAAAATCATGAGATTTTTAATCTTGAAATCTTAGTCCCTTAAATGCTGCACTTTGACGTTCTAAAACTCGAAATTACGGAATCCGAAAATCACATTCCTGAAGTCCTAAAAGTGTGAATCCGGAATCCAGAATACTAAACTCCTCAAGTCATGTAAGTTGAAATTTCAAATGCCGAAATTCTAAATTTTCAAATCACGATCTTGACATTCTGAATCCTAAAAATATGATACCCCAAATCAACAGTCATGAAATCCTAAATCTGTGATTCCTAAAACACTCAGTTGTGGATTTTCAAAATTTAAACACTTGAACCGAGTGTTTTAGGAATCACAGATTTAGGATTTCATGACAGTTGATTTTGGGAAACATAATTTTAGGATTCAGAATGTCAAGATCGGGACTTGGAAATTCAGAATGCCTAGATTACCATTTGTGATTCAGCGGTTTAGGATTCAGGGTTTTTGGAATTACGGATTTGATCTCAAATCGTAACCTAGGAATTCTGAATTTTCAAATCCCGACCTTGACATTCTGAATCCTAAAATTATGATATCCCAAATCCACAGTCATGAAATCCTAAACCTGTGATTCCTAAAACACTCAATTGTAGATTTTCGAAATGTAAATACTCGAACCCGCAAATCCATAATTCCAAAAATCCTGAATCCTAAAACCTGAATCATAAATTGTAATCTAGGAATTCTGAATTTTTAAATCCCGATCTTGACATTCTGAATCCTAAAATTATGAAACCCCAAATCCACAGTCATGAAATCCTAAACCTGTGATTCCTAAAACACTCAACTGTAGATTTTCGAAACTTAAACACTAGAACCCAGAATCCAGAAATACAAAATCATCAGATTCTTAATTTTGACTTTCTAAAACTTGAAATTACGAAACCCGAAAATCACAATCCTGAAGACTCAAAACTGTCAATCTGGAATTCAGAATAAAATCATGAATCTGGAA